GGGGGGGGGGGCAAGTGTGTGATTTATGGACTGCAGCGGTAACGGTCTGGAGGTTCCGTTCAGCATGGTGACAATGACCACATCCTTTCCAAAGCGGCCAAAACACATTGCGGCTTGCAGACGTCGCATCACCGGCCCCCTCCTGTTTGCCAGGGGGGGCCACCTTCCACCCACTGCCTTTCATTTTTCCATGTCTGCTCTCCCTGAGCCGGACCCCCCGCAAGGAGCCAGCCAGCTTTACCTGATTGGGTGAGAAACTCATCGTCGGTGAAAAGGACACGTACGCGGGGTGTGAAGGCACAATTATCACCCCCCACTCCAACATAGGGCCGCAGAGCGCAAAACAAGTGGCAGGCATCTCCGGGGACACTCCGGCTCGTGTCCTCGGAGGCGGGGGGGCGTGGCATGCGCTAATTGTCAGGCCAGAGTAATTCCCCGGCATGGCAATTCAACCAGGTGCCAGCCGGGTGCTAATTAAACAGTACGGTCATAAACCAGCCCCCCCACCCCCCCACCACAAACTCCCACCTCAGAAAGAACGCAATGTGAAGGTGTGTGTAGGCGCGTATCCCACAGTCCTTTGCTCCATGCCTCCGCTCGCAGTCACCTGGGCCAAATTAAGGCGGCCCAGAACCCCACGGGGTCTCAGCCGCAGTCTGTGCACACGTGCTTTCCGTTCCGGACCAGAGCGCTGCCGGGGGAGCCGTTGATGGAATTTCTCACACATTTTCACATGATCCTACTGCATTAACAAGCCTTTTTTCTTTTTTTATCAGGAAGTGCTATTACAAAGATGATGTCGGGATGTCATTTCTCTGTCTTTATTTGTAAACCTTTATCGATCTTCTTGCGATGATGTAGACATGATGAATTGTTAACGGCTGACACATTAATTGCGCTAAGCTGCCGGACAATTAACAGGCTGAAACATGAATTCGTTTCCATTGCCAGGTACCGCTGCCAGTAATAGGCAGCCTGGCTCTCTTTAGCGCTGGAAAGCTTTAAGCCCTCACAGGCCAAACTGCTGTGCATCACAGCCACTTACAGGACAATTATAGAGGAGAGTCGGTCATCAGCTGTTTTGCAAAAAGGTCAAACGAATCTGAAAAATTCTAAAAATAACTTCGTTGGGTTCAAATAGACAGGCAACAGGATTTTTTGGGCAACCAGCATAACTAGCCAGACAGTTTACCCACGATTCCCTGGAACAGGAACTGGTCACATGATCCTCACTGCCAAATGACAGCATACCGTCAGTCTTCGAAGCACCAGTTGTGACGTTCCTTGTATTAACGATCTGGGCTGCATGTCTAGAGTGTCCATCGGCCGCGTGAGCAGCAGGGGTCAGCACTAAAGGCCGAGCGAGGACCCCTCAGCGGGGCCGCCCTAGCACTGCCTGTGAGGTTTACGACGGTGTTCATGGTCCTGTGGAGCAGAGATTGGCGAGATCCCTGTTCCAGCCTAAGGTCCCTGTTTACTGGAACCGGCTCCAGTGCTATGGCTAATTATCCGATTCCCGCGCACGTACGCACCCTGCGATAAGCGGAATGAGCGTACCTCGCCGGCATTGTGTCTCTGTAATCCACTCCGGCTCCTCAGAAATCGGACACGGCCGCTCTGCTTCCCGGCAAACCGATATTACCCCGCCACTCGGCGCGGAGACAGCGACGCCGCCATGATGTCAGCAGGCAATCACGTGGCCTCAGGCTGCCGCGCCACTGCCGTTCCTTCCAGCGGGGGGTGCTGTCCTGCTCACGGGGCCCCTACACTGATATCTGTTCGTACGGCTTTGGCTGTGATCCGTTCCCCTGTCTGTGGAGTTGCAGAGACGGCTCAGCACTGTTTACGCTGGGGGGGGGGCCGTGAAGGTGCCATGAGGGGGGGCTTCATGAGTGGGACTGGATTGTTTATGCCGATCTGCTGTGCCCAAATGCTGAGGTCGGTTGTGTCCCAGTGAAACCGTTCACTGGGGAAGCTGGGATGCCATCAGCATGCTGCGACTGTGACCAAACTGTGCGGTTTAAACCGCAAGGTTGACGGTTTTGACCCTGCACCAGCTGGGAGGGGCTTCCGGTCATTGACCCAATGCCCACGTGATGAATGAGCTGCTCGCCTGCTGCATAGGGTGACCTTGGGACCCGTCCTCAGCTGCCTCATCCGGTGCCAGGTCGGTTAAATTTGGTGACAGGCCGCCTTAATTCTGCAGGGGCCCTCGTTACCAGACCCGGCATTGGCACTGCATTTCTAATTCCCCAGGAAAACATCGGGGGCTTTATTTTTTAATGACCTTCTGAGTATGTGTATGTGCAATTCAGCTCCCATTCCACCAGGGGCAGTGTGTTCCAGCATTCATCATGCAAATAAAGGAAAAGTCTTAAAAAAAATAGCTAATTATTCTGGTAGTTTGCTGATTGGGATCCTGGTTCTGAGCCCACACACAAGGCTGCCTGGGGGGCAGAGGGAGGTCCTTTCCCACAGGCGCTGACCTCCTGCAAACTGAGGTCAAGTCTCTCCGGCGCCCCCTGGCACCAGCGAGGCAGATGAATGTCCATTAAAAAAAAAAAAAAAAAATCCATTAGGATATTTTTCTACAGACCTAAGATGTGAAATGTGAGCCATGCTGGAGGGAAAAAATGTATTCAGATGCAGTTTTAGGGCACTAATATAATTCTAAAACGGTATGTGGCACATTATGTTGTTTTATTCTGGACGTCTCCACAGGTGAAGTTCAGAGAATGGAGAAAATGAATCAATCAGAGGGTTACTTTACATCAGGTGTAGGATAAAGGACAATGAACCCTCAGTGCAGGCTGCAGCAAAGCCACTGAACACAACATCGTTTACATCTTCAGGCATCCATTTAGAAACACATTTTGCGCATATCAGGTGACCACATTCAGGCATCCTGCCAAATATAAAGAAACAATGAAATCAGTAAGGCATAAAAATCAAAATTTTCTGTGGGTTTTTGCGAGTTCTCCAAGGTAAAGCCGCACGATTCTCTTCAGCCAAGTCTGACGTTTGCTCACAATGAAATCCAACCGTCCAAATCACAGGCAAACGGATGTCTGCAATTTTGTGATAAAATTTCAGTGAATTAAAGCCAGTAGCGGTCCTTGATTTGTGAATCCATTCACATTAGATGATGCGGCTGAATTCTGTGCCAGTTCTCTGCCAGGAACAAATTACGCATTAATTGCTGTATGACAGGGCTGCACACAACGTCTGCAGAGTAAACAAATTAATGGCAAAATAAAATGCGACAATCTAGCCGGATACAAAAGCACACGATGCAGGTATATTTACCGTGTTTGGGGCTAATTTGCGATGCGCAATTCAGAGAGGCAAGCTTGTGTGAGGACGGGGGGGTGGGTTTCACATGGCCGAGAAGGTCCGTTATGGGGGCGTCGGCTGCTCTGGAGGGGCCATGGTGTCCCATGCGTCTCCACCCTCACTGCAGAGAGCCGTTCTGCCCAGGAACGTCCCAACAAACACCAGAGCTGCTTCTGTCCCAGCCACTAGTGCCACCTGTCCCAATGCCGCTTGTGAAGGTGACACACTTTACTTAAAGCTCACACTGTAGATACTTGTGTTCATGCATCCTCACAGACATGGCATTCATAGAAAGTGTTACCGTCTATATTATTGATACATGGAGCATGAAAATAAGTTGATAATTACAGATGTGGTCCACAGGCTCAGCCTTTCCCGCGTAAACGCTGATGCTGAAGCTGGAAGAAGCTGCCCGTTTAGATGCAAGCGTCTGACTTCTCTCTTGAGCTTCATTGAAATAATGGCTGGGATTTGGACGCAACCTATGGTGGGTGGGGAGCTGTAGGGGGGCTACTCCATGACAGAGAGGCTGGGCTGTGGCAGGTAGGAGAGGCAGGGGGGCTGTTCGGGGCCCGGGGCCCCAGCCCAGGCCAAGCCGGCGGTGAAATCGGGCCCCCGCTGCAGCAGAGCCAGTCTGGCAGCCAGGAGCAGCAGGACGCCAGCCAGCACCTCCAGGCAGAAGGAGAGGCAGGCGAGAACCAGCGACCAGCCGAAGGACACGCCCACGTGGGCCAGCTCCTCCGGGCCCAGCTCCCGCTCCAGCTCCGCCAGGGCCTGCTGCGAGTAGCTGACGTAGATGCTGACCCCCGAGAGCGTCAGCAGGCCTGGGGAGACACAGCGACAGGGAGGACATGAGCGGGAGAAGCCCCACCGTGGGCGGGAGTACACTGCGCCGTCCAATCACTGCTCAGGTTCACTCAATGGGCCGTCCAATAACTGCTCAGGTCCACTCAATGGGCCGTCCAATCACTGCTCAGGTTCACTCAATGGGAATCATGGGTCAGAGAAGTGGGCGGAACCAAATGTTAATCGACAGTACATTGTAGCCTCACCCAGCATGGGCATCAGGAATTAGGGGCCTCCTCAGCCCCAAGCGACCTCTGACCTCCACTCGCTCCATGGTGACAGTGAATTTTTTTACACTGCAGGAGTTGTGAACTTTGGATCAGGCCTATATAAAGGGGTTGTGGTGTTTTTTTGGGGGGGGGGGGGGGGCACAATCACCCCCCAGACTTCCTTATGGCCACAGTTAATAAAAGGGTTTGAGTTCAGAAATCGCATGACTCGGCTGGGTTCCTGCATCCTGCTCGGCACAGATCTGATGAGGCCTCAATGCATTTTATGGGGCCTGCAGACTCTATGCACCTGTCTCTGCGTCCCTGGGGTGGGACGAAGGGTGCAGTGAGGTCTCATGTATCTGAAATGACACCCATTTATATAAAATGCGTCAGAAAAGTGTTTCCATCCCATAGCAATCCGCTCTAACTGATAATAATGCAAAAGGCAAAGAGATGGAGTTAAATGCAGACAGGATGCACACAGATTATAGCTTTTATTTAGTTAGCACAAAATGACCAGACTTTTACAAAACCAGCTTGATAAAAGCAGGGCCCATAGACTCACGGGGATTAGCACTGCGGTTGGAAAGTCGCCGGTTCGAATCCTGTGGTTGGCAGTGTGGATTCCCTGTTGGGATCATGAGTGCGGCTCCTAAACCCCC